ATGTTACTGCAAAACTCTACACACAAATCCCATTTCTCAGGGCTTACACCGTTTTCAATATTGTTCACTCAAGTCTGCAAAGTTTGAGCCCAATTAGCACATAATTACCCAAGTGGAAACACTAGGAGTCAAAATTGATCACACACCAATCAGAACCTTCGATGGACAGATAAAAGGGCCAACGTCAGCTTACAGTTTTTCTCAGTGGCTTTGGTGCATTTCTCAGATTAGAAATGAAATTCCACATCATCTAGTCACTTGTGCAATCATAAAAAGTTTCTCATTCTTTCTAACAAGTTGTGATTGCTTTGGTACATTCATGCGACTGATTATGTACATTTGTCTGCGGTTTCCTACATCATCAGTTGCTAATATCATGTTGCGCAAAATGTATTATATAGTTATATATTGTGCTGTAGTCTTACCCCTCAAAACCTCAAGTCATTAGTTTATCGTATAAGTCATTACGATAAATGCAAAATGGTTGATCTAGTTGTTATAAACTGCCAAGCATATTTTCTACACATTTCTATTAGACTTTTTATAAATTTGCCATGAATTGCTCAAGTGAATCTTGACTTTCACTAATGAAGAGAATATAGATCAACCAATGACAAACCAGTTCTCTGAAATAGCTCAAAGGTACATCTCATGAACCTTCAATTGGAAAGCATATATAGACAGAGGACAACACAAGAGTTACAAATTCTGACAGTGGACTTTCTCATTTTTTTTTTTGCCTTTGTGCCCACATTTCTTTTCCATTTCTATTTCACATTGACATTGTAATGTGTGTGTTTTTTGGGTCAGACCAAAGTAAAAGTGTAACTGTGAATCCTATCCAGTCTTTTTCAAGCAATATCCCACATACAGTAATGTGTTAATTTGTACTTTTGAAATGGATATAATGCATACATAAGAAGTGCAGCCATCTGCATTTCAGTACAGTAACTGTCATCCAAACTGTTGCCATAGTTTACATCAGGTAATACTAATAGAGTGCAGTGTTATATTAACAACATTCATAGTCATATACTATGATGCTATACTGAAGACTGAAGTTCTGTGTGTTGGCAGGAACAAAGCTTTACTCCTCTGAGATTTGCTGCCATCATGTTTGTTTGGCACTATAGACTGAACAGTCATCCTTAAAATCAATGTTTTTTACTCTTATATTCAATAACAGGGAATGCAGTGCAATCAATACACTCACATGGTATTACAGCAACAAAAATGGCAGTTAAACCTCCTACATCTTGCGTAACATTATAAGTGAGCTATTAAAGAGTCAATAAAACACCATACAGCTCCGACCTCACGGCTCGCTCAGACAGAACAGACGGAGATTTCATTGTATCCATTCACATCTGGCTTTTTTTGATCGAGTTGTTGCCATAAGAAAGCCATCATTAAACCGCTTGAACTTCGCTTATTAGTGACACGTTGATGCAATTATAGATGAGTGCCTTTCAAGAGGCCATCGTTAGGTAAAAGCTAAAGAATTTGTTCTTTAGATGATGGTTTGAAAGCATTTCAATCATTCAGTGTTTGGAGACTCTTCATTATTATGCTCTGAAAAATGTGGAAGCCTTATTGCAATCGAACGTTTACCTCCCGTCTGGCCGGATGTTTTGTTTTGCACTGGTCATGTTGCATTCGCTCAGACTCACTCTAAAAGAAAATAAAGTTGGCAGTGTTTTCAGCAAAGTGTTGGGAATAAGTGAAGTGCAGTCATGTTATGGCAGCGGCGCTCTGTAATGATTTGATGCTGAGCTGACAAGCACAGGCAGATAAGAACAAATGAGGCATTCGGCGGGCATGAAGACAAAACATGACGCTTAGAGATAAGTGATATGAATGGACTGCATAACAACTGGGGAAACGGTATAAATCATTTTTATTTTGCACTTTATTGCAAAATGGTAAGGGCAAAAAAGATTTAAGAAGTAGGAAAGACGACAAATAGTACAGGGAACATGCACTTGGTTGGTTAAGATCAGAACGTTGAACAGATTTAACCATAAACACAAAAATGATAATTAAATGATTAAAATTATATATATATATATATATTTAAATGTTTAACACTATATTTGTCACGGTGTGCCTACTGTGAGGAGCGAGGAGGCACGGAGACGTGGGAGAATATACAAGGAACAGTCTTTAATGAATCAAACAAGGAAACACACACATAGCACACGGAATCTACGATTAACACTGAACACTAGACATGGGAAAACACAGGACTTAAGTACTCAGAACTAAACAAGGAGATTACCGGGGCACAGCTGAAACAAATGGAACTCAATGGGAACAGGAACAGGAAAACCAAATATGGTCATAGAAACTAGGTCATGGAAAACATGGAACACGTGGGGGAGGAAAACAAACACAAAGCAGTCCATGACGTGACACTATTATTAACAGTAATTAGGCTTGTCTCTACACCAGATTGTTGGATTCTTAACAAAGCCTCACAGGTTTCATAATTCTCAATATCACCCACATAACGAACAAAAAAAACCCTAAATTTAACAAATGAATGATTCATTATAAATTATACAACTGCTATAAGTATATCCTTACCTAAATACATTCAGTACACTCACTATATAGCAAATATCAAATGCCTGATTGTTTATATAATCACACAATGTGAAGAAATTAGATGGTTGTACTGTGGTCTACCTGATCTCATGACAAAAACGTACCTGTGGGAACTACGTCACTGCAGTTTCCAACAGGAATGAACACTAGAGGCGGTAAAACTGCAATCGTTTTTGTAAAGAGTTGTGATTACAGCTCCATATGTTTTGCTTTCCGGATGTAACAAGCTTGCTTGGTAGCTCAGCTGGCACATACTTGGACTTAAGATGTGAATTGGACTTAAGAATGCTTAGGTACGAATCAGGCGAAAAACATGACTCACGATGAAAGAGCTCAAAGATATGAGATCAGAAAACATGCTTGTGATTGTGTTTTTACACATTCGCTTTTGTTCATACTATCGGGTAGGTTTAGGTGTAGAGCAGATGGTACGTTATTTTAAAACGTCACGGAGTATTAGAGTTATAGAGTCAGAACTGCGGTGAAATGTACAAAACCAATGTCACATAAAACGTACCATAGTTCATCTGTTCACCTGGGGAAAAAAATAACACTCTTTTAGCGCCATTCAGTGGACATTTCACATTGAATATGTCACGAAATGTCATGGCGCTACATATTTTGTGTCTTGCAAAAAAGTTCCCACAGGTACGTTTTCGTCATGAGATCAGGCTCACTATGGTACATATGTGAATGATTACTGTATATATATATATATATATATATATATACACGCATACATGCACGCACACACACACACACATATTTGTTTCTGTGAATTGTGGGGACTTTCCATTGACTTCTATTACTTTTATACTGACCAAACGATATCCCCTAACCAACCCTAAACCTACCCCTTACAGAAAACCTGCATTGTTACACTTTCAGGTAAACATAATTTACTATTTAAAAATTTTTTTTTTCCCCTCAGGCCGGTCCCCACAATGTCAAAAATGTCAGGTTTTACTATCCTTGTGGGGATATTTGGTCCCCACAATGTGGCATAAACAAGTACACACACACACACACACACAGGCTTTACAGATTACAAGTTACCCTGTTTAAAATGTAATAAGTAGTGTAATAATTTCAATTACTTTATTAAAGTAATGTAACTGATAACATGTTTTTTTTTTTTTTTACTTTTTAATTACTTTTCTACATTTCTAATGAATATTTTCAGCTGTTAATCATTTTCAGTCTTTTAAACCAGGCAGGGTTAAGCTTAGAGTAGTAAGCATAGAGTTGCTTTGGGGAGTCTGTTGGTGCCCTGAATTTCACAACTCATTGACCCTGTGAGTCATTAATGTGGGTTATGCTACAATACTGAAATAACTGTAATATTAGACCAACCTTTTCCAAGGAGGAAGTACATTAGCTGCATATTTTCTGTTCGAAGGGTTCATAAATAGAAGTGAGGCTGGTAAAGATGTTTTTAGCTAGCTAGCAGACTAGCTAATTTGTTGTGAATGGAGATTAACACCATTAAATAAACTACTTGACATGCACCAAGCAATACTGAGCTAAAATACATCTACGAGTAGGCGATGCCTTTCCTACTTTATTTAAAGAGTGCTTACAGTCAACTGTACGCTAAGTTACATACCTGCAGATGCTTCCTCTGGTTTAGCATTGGAAACTTCAATGTTGATGGCATTTTAATAGTTGGCAAACATATTTTGCACTGAACTGTTATATTTGCACCCTGATTTCTTGATTAACTGACTAAATTAAATTTCCAGCACTGGAACGCATTTTTATCACTCACAGTGGTGTCACCATTGTACTTACCCTGTTGAAAAAAAACAGCATATGCTGGTTAGGTATGTTTTGACGCTGGGATGCTGGTTTAAGCTGGTCCTTTGCCAGCACATGACCAGCATAAACCAGCAAAAGGACCAGCATAAACCAGCAAAGGACCAGCTTAAACCAGTAAAGGACCAGTTTAAACCAGCAAAGGACCAGCATAAACCAGCAAAAGGACCAGCATAAACCAGCAAAGGACCAGCATAAACCAGCAAAGGACCAGCTTAAACCAGCAAAGGACCAGTTTAAACCAGCAAAGGACCAGTTTAAGCCAGCAAAGGACCAGCATAAACCAGCAAAGGACCAGCTTAAACCAGCATCCCAGCGTCAAAACATACCTAACCAGCATATGCTGTTTTTTTCAACAGGGTACTTGTTAGTGTAATATTGCTTATTAGTGTATTAAGTAATACGTAATAATGTAATATCTTTGAATTATCTTTATTGGTATATTTCCAACAAATACTGATATTGAATTAACTGTAAAATATTTTGATTAGTTTACCAGCATGTCATGCAATTAACTTGATTACAGTTTTAATTGAGTAGCATCCCTAGTAATAACAGTTTCTTCTCTTTGTGCACAGATAAAGTGCCTCATTTCTCCAGACTCGGGGATGTGGAGGTGAACGCAGGACAGAATGCCACATTTCAGTGTGTGGCGACCGGACGTTCCACCAAGACTGACCCCTTCCTGATGGAGGTGAGTGTGTGTGAGGGAATGTGAATTTTAATAAGCAGATATTGCTTAATGAAGCAGCAAGCTTAGACATACTATATTTGGGATGTTAAACTGCTGGAAGTCGGAAACATGTGACCTTCACGAAAAAAAAAACCTCATTAAAATTCAGCACACTTCCTTTTTAATTAAGCAGCGGCAATTGCACTTCCCGGTCCTATTTGATGTGTAGGTGATAGTTGGAATTATTTTATTATTAAATGCCATTTATCTCTACATTATGTGCAGTGTTGAATAAAATATACACAAGTCAATTGAGTCAAGTAAAAATATAGCCTGTAAAAATATTTTGCCTTGTTTTAATTAAATATTTAAACAACCTTATTAAAGGTAGTACACCTTGAATTGCCAAACTATTATTTTATGTTTTTATTTTTTTTGCTGTGTAGAACATTACCAAAACTAAACCCAAGATTGCTAAAATACACTCTTATTTTAATAAAATATCTAAACACTCTTTAGAAAAGTTACATTTGCTATGGAATATTTGCTTTTTTAGGACAACACACCTTGAATTGCCTGTAGGCATATATATATATATATATATTTTTTTTTTTTTAAGAAGAAAAAAAAATGCTAAAAATATTATTTTATATCTTCTTTATTCAACCCAGAATTGCTATATAAAAAAAAATATATATATATATCTTTATGATAAAGATCACAACTATCATCAGTACAACTTTACTATCTTCTGCGGTTTGCAGTCACAAAAGTAACATAAATGTCTAGGGAAATATATCAGAGTATTAATTTTCCTTTCAAAATATAATGAAGTCAGCAGGAATATGTATGATAACATTTAAATGTACTTAACGTGTCACAAATGTACTTAAATGCAGTGACAGTGTGTCTCTACTTTGTTACTCTACATTTTTGTTATGTATCACTGATAGCAGAGTTCACTTTCAACTCATCACCACACAGCATTTTCTTGAGCAATTTCATATAGTATTCCTTATTCACATCCAGTTTATGATTTACAGAGGAACTAATTGGTCTATAAGAGAGAGAGCTATCCTTTTACATTTCCATTTAATTCAATGGCAGTTGCTTGGTTGGTGCAGGAGTCTGCTAGTGATAGTTTGAAATCTTTGCTCATGGACCGCAGAACTTTTTTGAGCCAATAATCTGAGTCATAAAGTCAACATTTTAAGCCAAAATGACTTAATGACTATGATGATTGGCTGATGACATCACAAACATGTGCACAGTCCAAAACCTCTAGTGACAAATGAATTGTGATGTTAAAAGCACAGGAAATTAATTTCATATTCAGTGTGGCACCTCTATGGGACGTTTCTAAATTCTTGATCGTGTAAAGTTAGGCTCCTGTGTGAGCGCCCCCATAAGGCCGATCCCAGCGTAAGCTCTCAGTGATGGATATCTGCTCTCTTTCAGTTTTTCTGTTTGGTTTTACAGCTGAGGTCTGAAGCGCTTGCCCCGGGCCGTGTGGATTCTTGTCTTACAACCTTTTCACTTTCTCATTGCTGTTGTTCAGTGTAATTCCATTACTCTGGAAAGGTCACACAAGTTTGAACTGAGTTGTGTTGGAGCAGTCCAGTATTAAAGCGAGCTACAGCAAATTGAAAATCCACACATTCAGTCGTTGTCCAGTAGCAGTGCATAACAGTAGTTGTTTGATGTTAAAGGTACACAGTGTATTTTTTTTTCACATTTATTTTTCAAAGTTGTACACTTAAAGAAGTTATTTGTAGTTGTATGATTAACAGTATGAGCAACCCTTTCCATGAATAAAGCAATAGAGGATCAAGTGCTGTATTATTTTGAGTGAGAACTATTAAATATTTTAGATAAACAATTATGTAACATAAAATTAGCATAGCATGAAAAGTAGGTCATTTTAAGCACATTAATTGTCTGAATCGCCCCCAAACACAGACAGACCCACACACACATGATTTTGACTGTGATCATATCCAGCAATTAAAATCACTAATCACTATCACAACTTGGTCATAGTCTGTTCAGTTGCGTAATACCTATTTTAATTAATAACTTTTTGTAAAATACAATTTTGTAAGACAAACAAATGTCAGTGACTCGTTATATATAATCTGATGAGTTCAGAATATTCAGTCTTAATAGCTATTCAGCTATTATAAGATGATCAAACAATATTGTTTGGTATTATTTTTTAATATAATATACCTAGAAATATCATTAATACCTGGAAATATTGGATACCTTATGTGTGTGTGGAACAGACACTTTAGACAAAATCTAAAACACTGGCATATGAGTCATATTTGATAGATCAGGCTTTTACAGCTCCTGTAGTATGATATAGTAAAAATATAAAGCAATTTGATAAGGAGGGGGGGGATAAATCATATAAATAACATATGATAAAACATATAATGCAGTGCAAAATAATGATGATTGAGAAATAAACAAATAATCATTCCCCAAAAACTACAATACAGTAGTGAGACAGTAGGCTTTACAGTGTAATATACGAGAATATAATTTCTCCAGAATCAATATTTGGTCCCAAACTTGATGCTATTCCCACATTTACATTTGATAGAGTATTTGACTAGACAGAAAATTACCTATAGTGCTACTATAAAGTTGATTTTGCCGATTTTTATAAATCCTCTAGCATATAGATCTCAAAGCGGGTCACACATGGACTAAAATCCACAAAAAATCCAATGGCTTCGAAGATTCTCTTCATATTCTTATCAAACTAAAATAGCACACATATATGGAATAAGATAGACTTACGGCTTTACTTACAATAATAAGATTTGTGTGACGCATGGCAAATACATGAAGAGCTCAGTCGATTCATACTTACCTTCAACATCCACCCTCACATATTGTTTCAATGGCAGTTTTCTCTGTACTGAAGCTCTTTTTCCCGGCGTATAATCTCTATCTCTTGAACTATCACTGAGCTCTGGCTCCATCATTGACTGGATCCTCTCTTCATATCTTTCTCAAAGCGTAATTCAATGAACTATCAGTCGATTCATACTTACCTTCAACATCCACCCTCACAAATTGTTTCAATGGCAGTTTTCTCTGTACTGAAGCTCTTTTTCCCGGCGTATAATCTCTATCTCTTGAACTATCACTGAGCTCTGGCTCCATCATTGACTGGATCCTCTCTTCATATCTTTCTCAAAGCGTAACATCAGAAACACTTTCTGGGCGACTGAAGTTGCTGAGGTTTTTAGGATTGGACGCGAGTCCCCAGGCTTTAGTTACGACGACCTTTGTTTTTCTTTCTATTCATTTTTTTCTTTTCCTTTCTTTTCATGCTCTGATTTTTTTGTATGTAAATCCAATTTGAAAATCTCTTTCAAGACGGAGGATGAGACTAGCTCTGTTCCTCGGGAGCTGAACATCTTTGTTAGTGTATATACTGTCGAAGGCTGCGTCCTAATCAACATGGAGTCCAGCGAATGGAAATGATCTAAATACGCAAAATATGCAGCACACGTGAATGAGTACAAGCATATTTTTAATCATTGTTTCTCTTGACTCTATATGCCATTTTTGGATTATGTTTATTCACTCATTGTAGCCAATTATGGAATTGACTTTGGAATTATGGAATTCTTTGCTAGAATTAGGCCAAAACTGTTTTTTTTTCTTCTTTGACTTAACCAGTGTCGAGAGTGTGCCAGTCTATTGCAAAAGCTCTTTTTCACAGACAACATGCTATTTTACACAAGCCAGCACATATAAAGAACATAAAATCCTGTCGAAATTGCAATTCTCTCATTTTAATTGTCCCGCTAGACTCCTTTTGCAAACTGGTTAGCACATTCACATGTAGACACACACACATACTGTACCACATGAGACACGCAGGCCTCCCAGCTCCCAGCCTTTAATTAATGCAGATAATGTCTCCTTCAAATCCTCACCACAGGCCAAACAATTCACACTGATCTTCCCTTATATCAGTTATCGCTAACAACCAGCGTATGCATTTAAATGATACCTAATAAGGCTGTTACAGGGTTTTTGCATAGGCACATTTAACTTGCACTTTATACTGCAGTTATTGCAAGTATTCCTGCATAACAGTTACGATGTGGAAACTTGTATATGGTTAAAAAAAAATGCATTCCGATCATACATGGCTTTCTTTGTTTTTGTCTACCACAAAATAATATATGTTTCCAAAAATATGTCAGTGTTTTTTTTTTATAGTTAGTTTAGTTAGGTCTAATGTTGCTGGGATCTTGGGTCAGATGTAATAGCATGATTTTGCACTTTGTAAGTGTCGCTAGCATGTTTAGCACACAATGTCATATTTTGCTGTGTTGTTAATAGTGCATCACATTATTAAATGTCACTTCCTGTTGCCAGTAGGTGGCGCTATAACTATGATCGTATATGAGCATGTAGATGTGTTCAGGCCAGGACTCTTATTAAAAATGTTAAGTTTGAGGCAGATTGGACACTGCATGCCTGAGTTACAGCAACTTCCTTTTTCATTGTATTAATAGCAAGCTTTAGCAAATTAGCTAAGTGTTGCTAGCATGTTTTAGCTTGCTTTTAGCATGTTGGCATGCCTATTTAACTCTTGCTGACACTTTTTTAATATGTTGCTTAGAGTCCATAACTGTGTTAAACATGTCACTTCCTGTTGCCAGCAGGTGGCGCTATGGCTATAACCGAATACGGGCATGTAGATGTGTTCAGCCGTCTCTTATCAAACATGTTAAGTTTGGTGTATATTGGACATTGATTGCCTGAGTTACAGCAACTTCCTGTTTCATTGTAGCATGTTTAATCAAATTAGCTAAGTGTAGCTAGCATGCTTTAGCATGTCTGTAGCATGTTGCATGTTAAGTTTGAGGCAGATTGGACACTGCATGCCTGAGTTACATCAACTTCCTGTTTCATTGCATTTGAGCATGGACATGTGTTCAGGACATAACTCCTATCAAACGTGTGAAGTTTGGGGCAGATCGGACATT